GGGCCTTCTTGGCAATGGCCCCTTGGCTCTGGAATAACCTCCCATCAGTGATCCGTCTGGCTCCCTCACTGGGTGTTTTTAAGAGCCAATTAAAAACTTGGCTCTTTCAGCAGGCCTTCCCTCCTGTCAATACTTCACTTTATTTTTACTATAATTTTCTGTTTTCCCATCTTGAGCACTACTAAGCATTACTAATTACAGTACTATTGTTTAGAATCGTTTTTAATTGTTTTTAACTATTTTAGCTTATAATGTTTGATAGAACCCGCCCAGAGTAGACTTTGTCTAAAAGGGCGGGATAGAAATCTAATAAATAAATAAATACATTTTAGTCATTATAAAACAAATATTAGGAAGTTATGTATGACAGGGGTTTCTCTGAATTTTGATGGAATAGGTTGGCCAACCAAGTAAGAATAGAGTTCAGATGAAAATACTACAGTATTTACTTTATCCACAAAGCAGATGCTTTGAAAGTTGTGAATGTATTAAACCACCCAATTCACCTTTTTTTTTGCCATGGACAATATGAAAGGAATACAGGCTGAATCAGAATTTCGTAAGTTGCATAATGAACCTTATAAGGCAGTGTATGAAGAATTGTGTCCAGTCTGTGCCCCTTCAAATATGCCAGGGGCTCCAGGGAGATATATGGTCCCCATTGTGAATGGCTGCATTAAACAACAAGACCATATCCAGGATTATGCTTAGACCTGCCTTCAATTATTTCAGTAAAAAAAGGAAACACAAAGCAGATACGCACATGTGTTTAGAAGCAAGGGAAACCTCACTTCCTGCACAGGCTATCCTTTGGTTTACTGTATAGGCTTTTGATCATGAATTCACAAGGACATACTCACCCACCCAAATCCAATATATCCAAAGGTAGCTTCAAAATAACCAAGAGAGGCTAATGTGATTCGATTCATGATCACAGAAGCACAGATAATTATGTGGAGACCAACTTGCAAGAAATAACATAACTTCTCACAATGAAGTCACAGATATATAGGATTTAGAGGGATCCTGCAACAAAATCAGGCTGTGTGCAGGGAATCCTGTACATGTCAAGGGAAAGAAAAAGATTATGACCTTATTATTTTAGCATGAATGGAAGCTGACTGGAAATTTGTAAGGGGACTGAAGGCCTACTTGGGCTACAGCAGAGACATGGTTCCTACGAACAGGAGAAAGGACCTGTGGGAAGATAGGTTTCAGCTTATACACGTATTCTTCCTCCACCGATACTTCTCCTGCCTGAAAACAAAGATCTTTCACTTAGAAATAGTACACTGTTTCTTCTAAAAAATTTTAAGCCTATTGCTTATATACCAACCAACGGTGCTGAAATCACTCTTTGGGTGGTTTACAATTTAATTATACGGGCTACATATCCCTCCTCCTCCAGCAAGCTGGGCATTTAATTTACCAAGCTCGGAACGATGGAAGGCTGAGTGAAAATTGAGCCAGCTACCAGGAACTGAACCCCAGTCATGAGCAGAGTTTTGGCTGCAGTACTGCGGTTTAATCACTGTGCCACAAGGCTCACTCTTTTAAAGCCTCACTCTTCGGTTGAACACTCCCAGACTGGATTACAAAAAATGAATTAAAGGAATACAGTACTGTAAACCACCTAAAGGAAGGAGAGGAATGAGGATAGAAAGCAATTTTACTATCAAAAGGAAGGCCATGAAAGAGTGAAAGGTTAGGGCTCCAAGGGCTACATGTAGACCTGGCAGTGTGGCACCTGCAAGTTCCTCTGCCTCATCAGAACTTGTTTTTCTTATTTTTAAGAGAAAGAAAATATTAACTACTAATAAATGTAACATTTTTAACACAGTAATATAGAAAAACAGGTCACAATAACATTGGCAACAAATACAGGAAATGCTATAGGTTTAGGACACACTGATTCACATCATTTCCTACTGAACATGTGACCAATGTATCCTCTAATTTTCAGCCCCACTGGGTGGGGTTCTGCCTATCTCTCATGTGACTTCTCCCCTGCGAGTACACATTACTCTGCACACACACACACCAAACACATAGGGTTCCATCATGACCAGAACCAAGGGGGCTGCGAGGAGGAGGAGGAAAGCTGCGCAGAAGGAGGCAGAGTCATGTGCACAGCCACACACTTTGAGGGATTGTTGCACATGACACAAAAGAACATGCAAATTAGCCTGGAGTCCGTTTCCCCCCCCATCTGTAGTTTTTCTTTTGCTGCTGGGGCTTCCACATGTTTACAAATTGATCCATTTGCACAAGTTCAGGTAATGTGTTTGTTTGAACCAATACAGAAGACTCCAGACTAATTTGCAAATAATATCACAGAGCCAAGCATCAACTGCTGGTCTGGCTACAGCTGCATTTCAAAGCAAGCTGAAGAAAG